ACTCTGCATATTTCCAGTATTAGGTTTACATCAAAACCAAATGGCCTTGCATAATATTTCAAAGGCTTGCCCAAAGTATTATTTTTACTGCATCAGTTCCTTCTTAAATCAATTAACTAGCAAATAAGGTAGGGGAACATTTTAGTGCCATTAGGAACATTTTAGGTGGTTGAGTTTTGCTTTTTATAAACTGGGTTTGTTGTAATGAGATTTGACCTGGTGGTTATTTGCATGTGATTATTTGCTGAATATTTGTGATTGTTTCTAGCATGAAATCTACAAAATTGGCCTATTCCAGCCACAATCAAAGGAACCCATGACAATGTCACATGATTTCCTGTAACCCTATATGGGTTGCCCTGAAACATTATCCCTCATTAGTGACCTTCAGAACAAAGAGATGCCAGTGTGTTTGAAACATTTGTCCTCACCTATGTTCTACTGTCTCAACCACATAGCAGGTCCCCTAGGGCAATGGCCATGCCCTTGATAGACACCTAGTGGCATCACCAAGCACACAATGGACACATACTCTGTGCCAGGCACTGTGGCAGGGACTTATGTGTATTAATCTTCCAGTGATCCCAGGAGAAAATGAGGTAAGTGAGGCCCAGACTTTATCCAAGGTCACACAGATGATGAGACAGTGTAGGAATCTAGTTCTGGGTTTGATGTTTCTGTTGTTATCTCTAAATTCCTATTTTCTAAACCAGAAATGGTGGTTACAGAGGTGCCTATAGTCCCAGCTACTCAGGAGGCTGAGGCAGGAGGATCATTTGAGTTCAGGAGTTTGAAGTGAGCCTGGGCAACGTAGTGAGACTCCTACTTAAATAAATAAATAAATACATACATACATACATACACACATACATACATACACACATACATACATAAATGCATAAATACATAAATACATAAACAAATTCCTATTTCTTTTCCTTGACACACTTTGTTACTAGCCTACAACAAGTTTAGCATTAGTCTCCATGACTCAGCAACTCAAAAGTAGCTAGCTGTGCTTCCTGTCCCCTCTCCCTCAGAAAGACAGGCATGAAAAGAGTTTTCCTTCAGAATCCAGAATTAAGGGGACCCTACCCTCCCTGAGCCAAGAGGGCCCTGTGGAGCAAAGGTATTTATTTGCAATGCGTCCTGGCCTTTCTCTGCAGTGCATGTCACATGCTCCTGGTTTCTCTGGGCCCCATCAACCCCCACTGTCAAGTCACACTCAAAAGAGTGATGAGGAGCACCAGAAACACCATGCCACTGCCTGGGTCTCAAAGCTGAGCCCTCAGGGAGGCCACAGGACCCAACTCTAGGAGAGCCAGGCAAATCATCGGTGCATTGCCTTTGGAAGCCATTCAATGAGCAGATGGGTCGTTGCCTAAAGCGACTACTACCTCGAACACAGGCTTTGTCTCGTCAAATTATCTCCCTGGTATCTGTTATCCCCCTGGTATCTTAGTGTCCTGCAGTAACTCGGATTTTATTCTTACTAATAAAACAATTTGCTAAGCAAAGCAAGAATAAAACACACCTCCTCCCCACCCAGCCCACATCTGATGGAATGAAAACTCAGATCGTGAATAAAAATCCACCCCCAGCCCAATATATTTCTCTTGTGGAGGGGCTATGTGGCTTAGCAGTTCTGCCACTGTGTAGGCAAAAATGCAGAGTTTGTCTCTTTTGTCAGTCTGGAGATAAAATCCTATTCTTTGTAATCCCTGAAGAAACAAATCAAATAAACTCAGGCTGAGCTAACCATTTTCAATCCATCAAAGCAATCAAATTCTGTTTACCTGAATCACAATGATTTCTAAAATGTTATTAAAAAGTAAAATGGAGTTTAACTATTCCAAAAAACCGAAAATGATGTGCAAACACAACAGGGATAAGATTTCTGTAATTATGTAGACATAAAGTCGGTCCGATCATTTGTGCCACAATACATTGTAGCCATGGCGTGTGAAGATAAAGAGCCCTTTGTCTAACAGGGCAGCCGCAAGTGATGCGTAAACATAATTAATGTACGAAGTCTTCAAAGGGGTGACTATTCATTAGTTAGTTTTATTGCTCTTTCGGGCAAACAATGGTTTTATAATTTAATAAACCAATTAACTGATTATGTCTCACCCAAAATATTTGTATATCATCCATTCTATCAACTCTAAAGTCCTCATCCCATTTCTTACCCTGACGGTGTCATTGAGAAATGTGACTAATTAGTATACTTGGCACATGTTTGGCTGGCAGTTTATTTTGAAGCAAATTCTTTAGATTTTGTCTCAAGGTGCTTTTGTGAACATTTGCAACAACAACAGAAAGCCCTCTTTTCCGATGTCATTAAGAGCTCAGATATCACATTATTGTGATGACTGTTTAGAGCCACTCTGAAAGAAAGAAAGAATGTGGCCCTGCTGCTTTATCGTAATTCTTAAACCCTTCTATAGGGGGTGATTCCTCCCTAAGCATGGCATGCTTTATCAAAATTGCTTCTTCTGCTCAGGCAAGACTCATTCTGTGGACTTCAGGAGGCGATTGCCGGCTGTATTATAGCAGTGATGTTCGCCACATTGCCTCTGAAAGATCTTGCAGCCTTTCCATTATAACCCTCCATTATCCGGTAGAGAAAAGCCAGCTGGGGAAAAAAATGCATCAAGGAATAAAACTTGACATCCTGGCAAACTCCAGAAAGCTTCAACCTAGGCATATTCTAAATGTGAAATTGTCATGACAGGTTTTCAGTAGCAAGAATATATGTCAATAAAAGCACAGAAATGGAGTCACTTAAGAGGATTTGCTGGAACCCTCAGGAAAAGATGTTTTTATTATAGGTACAAATGCACTCCATGCTCCACTGTCCAAAAGCTGCTGCTGGTCTCAACCAGGGACTTTACTTGCTAGTGTTGCATAATAAACATTATCCTGACCTACAGGTTGCTGGCCCTCACCTTTTTAGCAAAACATTCATTCACTTGTGCATGGAACCAACAACTAGGAGCCTCCATCCTAACCCTCGTGAATTAGGCATGGTCCCTGCCCTCACGGAGCACATGGCCAAGGGTAAATCAGAGCAAGCGTAACCAATGTGACAGATGCAAGAGGGCAGACCCCTGGGCCATAAGACACACAGAAAAATGCTTTATTCAGACCAAGAGGATCAGAGAAATAGGATGGCATAGGGTTACCCAGGGGACAGAGCCTGGCAACTGACTGCAGGGGCAGCCCATTTGAGCCCTAGGGCTGTGAGGTAGCTGAGAAAGTTAGAGGTGGGCTAGGCTGATCTTCATCCTGGGAGGAAAGTGGAGCCATGGAAGGCTTTAAGCAGAGAAGCTGTATGATCAGATCTACACTTACACCTTCAAAACCTCCTCTGTCCTGTGCTCTCACTTCCCCCCCAAAAAGGTCCTAATGGTTAATGGTTAATATTGTAAAGCAACCCATGATTCATGGGTTTTTTTCCCAGTGAAAAATACAACTGAGCTTTTAGCATAATTCTTTTCAAAGCCACAGTGGAGCACTAACTTCCCTGGTTACTACTCATGCAACCATTAGCTCATTACGTGCCTAGGCTTCACTGGAGTCTCCGTGAATCACACTTTTCTGAAACTGAGGGGAGAAATCATAAATTCTAGTAAGAATCAAATAAACACAAGACTCCGAGGTCCTGCACAATTAATGGGCAGACAGGAAGCACTGGAAGTCCATAGGATGGCTTGCCGTGAACGAGGGCAGTCAAAGAAGTTTCCCAAAGGCGATGTGTTCTGAGCCGAGCGAGAGGAACAACGCGAACAGAGGGCAAGGTGGAAGGTACACAGGTGCACAGTGGGGCAGTCCTGTGTCCCAGCACAGCAAACGGTAAGGCCAAGAGGGGGAGGAATGAGTACAAGCATGACAGATGCAAATAAAGGACTTTTATCCCATCTTCCAGGTGATGCTGACACCATGAATACCGTGCTGTAGAGAATGGTGTTCACAGAGCACTTCTTACCCTTGCTTCTTTGACCTGGGACTTAATCTTAGCTCTTCTGTCCTTGGACCCTGTTACTCTCTCTTTTTTTTCTTTTTCTTTTTGGTACCGGGGATTGAAATTGGGACCTTGAGCCTGTGAGGCAGGTGGCAGCACCACTGAGCTAAATCCCCCTGGACCCTGTTACTCTCTACTGTCGCTCACTGCCTTCCCAAGTGCCCGGAGGGGTGGAGAGGAATGAGTGACAGGTGAAGCAGGCAGCATGATGCTTCTCAAGGGAATGGGTTGAGGTAGGATCCCCAGAAGTAGGAGGAACTTAGGGTGCCATATACACCCCTTCATGAACTGGCCTGTGCTGGCTGTGTCTAGATGGTCCCCAAAGCCTCATGCACTCATACGTGGGACTTTGGGGGGGTGGCTGGGTCATGGGTGTGTGATACTGGATTAGAGTGTGTGATACTGGATTAGTGTGTGTGATACTGGGATTAAGGATGTGTGGTAACTACAGGTTCAGCATAGTTCTGGATGTGGATAACAGAAGTCCCACCCTGGTGTGGGTGGCTCCACCCAAAAGGCTGGTAGCCTGAATGGAATAAAAGGACAGATGGAAGGCAGGCTTGCTGCCCACTGCCTTCTGCTTGCCATACCATGGACTGATTCTCTTTCGTGATCCCCTTCTGCCATGCTGCCCTGCCTTGGAACTAGCTGACTGTGGATTACAACCACTACAAACTGTGAGCTGAAATAAACCTTTCCTCCTTTAACTTTGGATGTGGGGTATTTTGTCTCAGTAACGAGAAAGTACCCAGGTCATGGCCCCACCATTACCCCCTTGAACCAAAGCCCTCAAACATTCACAATCCTCACTCATAGCTCCATGCCTCTCCATGTACCACTCCTACCTAACCTTACTCATCCTCTGTGACCCAGGCACCACCTCTCTGGGAATCCCTGTATAACTACCTGCATTAGTCTGCTTTCCATTACTATAACAAATATCTGAGATAATTGACTCAAAAAGAAGAAAGGTTTATTTGGCTTTGAAGATTTGAGTACAAAATTGAGTGGCCTTGTTGCTTTGAGGCCAAATGGAGAGGCAGCACATCCTGGTGGGGAGCGTGTGGTAGGGCAAAGCTGTTTTCTTCATGGTACCAGGAAGTGAAAGGGAGGAAAAGACTGGATTCCCACAGTCGAGGGCACACCCCAATGACCTAAAACCTCCCACTAGGCTCCACTTCTTAAAAGTTCCACCTGCTCCTAACAGCACCAAGCTGGGGACCAGGTCTTCAACACCTGGGGCTTCTGGGAGGCAGTCTAGGACCACCCTCAGCCATCTGCCCTTTGCTCCACTGTTGCTGGGAAGTGCTCACATAGAATGGTGTTTGATTGATCATGTGTTCAGTTGTCCTTGCCAGCCTCTCGTCATGGAGCTTTTTGGTGAGGCACAGGGGTTATTAGCCTTGTCTCCAGGTGACTCGCTGAGTTCCTCCAGGACTGCCCTAAAATGTAACAGCAGCTCGATTAACATTTGACGAATGTAAGGCAGCACAAGTGAACTCACACCAAAGAGGGTGATCCTGTCCTACCAACTTGCCAAATCCAGTGTCTGTCTAAATGCACATATCATAAAAGCCTGGATGTTGAGGAAATGGTATTTTCCAGAAAACAATGCAGGGTATCAGAAGAATTTTCACTTTCAGATTGCCACTGTGGAAAACTGGCATTGGGCTGTGTCTATACAACCACACAGCACAGCCACTGCAAAGAAAAATGAAAAGGTCATTTGGTGAGGGAGCATCAACTCAGGGGATTGTTTGATTTTTTTTTTTTTTTTGGCCTTTTCATTCAATCAAAAAGTTCATTTTTACAACCATGGGTAAATCCAGTATTGCTTAAGTCTGGGTGTCTGGAATCATATGACACTGTTATCTCATAATTCCTACAAAGGAGGTAACACATATTGCTGAGTAACATAGCAAGGATTGCCCAAAGTCCTAGACCACTGATGGTGAACCTTTTGGAACTTTCCATGACAATAAACAGCCGGCTGTGGCACACATGCCATAGGTTTGCCACCACTGCCCTAGACCTTCAATTCTCAAGTGTCAGGGTGCAGGATGAACAGGGTTTTGGTAACACTGACTGTTGGCCCTGCCTCCAGAGATTCTGACTCCATCTATCAAGGATGAGGGTGAATTCCCAGTTTTAAGTTCCTGGATAACGTTAGTGCTGCAGTTCAGGAACCACACTTTGAAAACTACTGCCCTAGACTATGAGAAGCCTGTAGAACTTATTTATCAGTTCTCAGACACTTGGTGCCACCTTGGCTTGCATCAGCTGAATGAATATGTTCCTAGGTAGCAAAATGAGGTCCAATCAATGTGCTCACCTGGCCCAAATTTCTTCTCCTGTAGTTCAAACAGGGAGTGGCCGCTTGCCAGCTCCAATCAGACCCAAGGGCCAGAGAAGGCCATGCCTGGGGGTATTAATTTTTCAAACAGGAATCCCTGATATCAACTGCATGAAAATGACTCTGGCTTCCCTTTGAGATGGTCATGGTAGGGATTTGAAAAGGAGGTCAAAGAAAAATTGAGTTCTGACTCAGATTTCACAAAAGTGGGTTTTCAAATCAAATCAGATGAAACCTCTAGGTGCATGGGCCTCATTTACCCTTACCCAAATGTGACCTCTCCTATTAAGAACAGGGAAAATGCTTGAAAAACTTCTTCAACATCAAATAGCAACTTAAGAGTATTTTCTGGTGATTTGAACTTAAACGAATCAGAAACATCTGGATTAAATTTTACTCCAATTCTACACAATCTCAACAATTAAGGTGGGGGAGGAAGCACTTGGCAAACTGCCCTTTGGGTTTAATCAAGCCTGGAGCATTTGAAAATTAGCGTGAGGTGTTGATGAGCTCTGGGTACAGTCCTAAGCCCCAGCCTCGACACTTTGAAGGCTCAGAAGAAAGGCAAGCATCACTTTTCTTCTGTCAGGACCCCTGGAGAGTCTTAGCTTATGTCTGTTTTTTTCATGGTCTCATGAGGATAGCTACTTCACAGTGTGATGCTCTGGACCAGTCTGGATGCCTGGTGACCAGCAGCAAGTGGCCCTGTGAAGAGTTTTCAGTAGCCCAAGCACAGAAGCGAAGAGCCAAAAGGCACATGGCGAGCTAACTCAGCCAGCTGCTGCAGCAAAGATGCGTCCTGACATCTCCATGGCTTCACACAACTGAGTTTCTGTCTTGCCCGTGCCATCTGGGTTGAATGACTCAGGGTCACTCAGGAATCCAGGCTGCTTCAGCTTGTGACTGTAGTACATCATGTTGTACCTTTCTCTGTGGCTGCAGCTGTGAGGAAAGAGAAGGATGGGAAGAGGCAATGCCTCATCTGAAATCTCAGATCTGTTACCTAAGAGCTGCGGGACATTCCATAAGATACCTCGTCTCTTTAGGCTTGATATCTTCCTCTGTAGAATGGGATTCACAACAGTTCCCCTCATGGAGTTCATACAAGAATCAAAAAAGATTTGGCATTAGACCCTGGCTGTTCAAAGGGGGGATCTGCTACCCAGAACCTTTGGCATCCCTTTGGACCCCACCCAGACTTACTGAATCAGAATCTGCATTTATTTAATAAACACCCCAGGTGATTTTTGTGCAGTTTAAGAGCTGCCACGCTAAAGTCCCGGCACATAGTAGATGCTCAGTGAATCTTAGCTGCCATTATTATCATCTAAACTCCAGCTGCCTCTGCAGGCCTGAAAGTCACTGAGGCAATTAGCCACTCAGCAGGGCCATCAGTGGGGATTATCAAGTTAGCAGGCTGGCTTCTCGTCACATGGAATAGTGACACTTCCTACTGATGTCCTTTCATGACAGGGGGAAGAGGGGGCTGTTATGTTAACTGACAAATCAAAGCAAGATGAAGACTGCAACCATTTTATCCCCATTATCCCAGGAATTCCAGCCCACATGGCACGCTGCCTTCATCATTACACACTGATCACAGGCCCTCGGCCTTACCTGGGATCAACCTGGAAACATGAAAGGTAGGGAATGGACCCAGATTGCTAGACAGGCTGTCACGGAACAATTCCCTCTGGGTGGGGAGATTAGGACCAATGTCAAGGAAATCAGTTCCCCCACTTCCTGGCAAAATACATTTGCGTGGTCCGCCCAGCTTTCAGAATCCAGCACTGTCCAGCCCACTTAGTTTCCAGAGCCTGGTTCAGGGGTGTGGAGGGATTCTTTTGCCTGGCCGCCCGCATGCCTAATTTCTGTGATTACGCCAATCATTGTCCTGCAAGTAAACTCGTATCAGGTATCTCTCCCTCACCCTTTCTCCTGCCTCCACCTCCCTGCACAAAAGCTCTGTCTGCCACACACAACACTGAGAGCTTTCTCTTGGTAATGGATCACACGCCTTCTAAAAGCTCAACTTCCTTTCCTCCTGAGCACTGTGTCGCCTCTGCCACATTGATCAATGTGAGCCAGAGCAAGGCTCTCAGCAGTTCACTGGCTGCCCACTCTCTCCCTCCCTTCCCTCTGCTTCCTTGCCTCCCTCCCTCCTTACACACACACACACACACACACACACACACACACACATACAATACTCAGAACATTAAAGAAAGCTGTTAAGCTAATCTGGTGCATCTAAATGGGCAATATATATTGAATCCATGCTCCATTGATCATAATTATTGCATTGCCCCTTATCAAGTAGCCATCTTAAACCATTATTTAGAGATCATTTTGCTTTCCATTACTGTCACTATATTGCAAAATTCACAGGGAATTGGATGCCTGGCGATAGAGAGGTGTGCACAGCATTAGCCAGGACTCTGCCCTTGTCATCCAGGAGTGTTTCCAACCAGGGAGACTTAGCGCCACAGTCAGTGAACTTTTGAAGAGCCCCCATCAGCTTTATGGCAGAAAAATAAATCCTCCACCCGGGTCTGATTTTCCACCTTGGCTCTGCAAACAATATCGCCATTATTCTTGCCTTACAGTAATCCCTGGTAAGACCCTGGACATACAAAGCCCCCAACTCACAGAGAGCACTCCGTAGTCGAAGTGCAGTCACTGCAAAGAGCCTGAATGAAGGCATCTGGCCCATGGGAAAGAAAACAAGGATGCCTTAACTGGAAGGGCCCAACCCCCTTAGTGGGAATCTTTCTACCAAAGCCCTCTCTTCCACACCCTAAGGACATGGAGGACAAGCTGCTTCATCTCCTCCAATACCCCACGCTACCTCCATTCGTTCTCTCCTCCACCCAGCTTACTGGAGACCCTTTGCAGAGAAGGAGAAGCATGGGCTTCTCAACAAGGTCGAGCTGAGTGTGACTGAGCAAGGTGGTCAAGGCCCTCGACCTGGTCATCAGAGTGGGTTCAAACTCAGACATAGCCACAAGCTCTCTGTAGGGTCTCAAACAATCTATTCACCATCTGTTTTGGCTTCAGCTTCTGCAGAAATAAGAATTAAGATGATTAAATCAATAGGGCAGTGGGACAGTTGGATATGGTGCAGAGAGTGCTCAGTACCATGTAGCTCTTGTTATTGTCACCTAGGGCAGTGGTTCCCAAATATTAGGGATCACCAGTCACACATTCCCAGCCCCATCCATGGAGTTTCCAATCTAGCAGGAGGGAGGAGTGAAGAATTTACATTTCCAACAAGTTCCCAGGTGATGCTGAGAGTCTGCACACCATATTTTGAGAGCCCTTGCTCTACTGAACAGCCTTTACACCCCATCTTGGGTCAGTGGTTAAAACAGTGAATAAAGCAGATCTGAGACAGTCCTGTTGTCTAAGAAAAAGCCACAGAGTTGAAGTCAAATTGATCTGAGTCAACCTACTGGTTCTACCACTTACTAACTGTATGATTTTAAATGATTTCTTTAACTCCTCTGGGATTGTTTTCCCATCGGTAGATTGGAATAAACAGCTTCCACATGATGGAGTTGGTATGAAAATTAAATATGATGGGCCATAGGAAATACTGGTACAGTGGCTGGTATATAATAGCAAACAAATGGTAATTAGTAATAATTATGTAAGGTTGGACAGTACAAAATTGCTGATATTTGACCATATTTTGCCTACCAAAAATGGCAGTTTTATATGGATCAGTCTAATAATTATAAGAAGAAGAATAGAAATATCACAAGGCACTTCGGGTTTTGTAAAACACTGAGCCAACAGCATCTCCTGGAGGAAAGCTGAAGTCATGATTCAGTTGAATTGCAACATTATTTTAGCCACCATGTTCATAGATGCCTTATTTACCCTCCTGGTCCCCAGCACCAACCACCACACACGCACACACACTGATTTAGTGGGCTTAGGGCACAGGTTAGGTTTCTGTTTTGTTTTGTAGGAGCTTCTCATGAGTGGCCAGAGTGGGGACCATGGCGACACATGTCCTCTTTCATCCCTTTGGCATTTCTCGGCAACAACTGAATGGTGACATTTACCATTGCCCACTCATTCTTCTTTCTCTTTGTTGGTTTCTAATTTGCTAAGAACTGGGAAACCAAAGAACTTAGCTTTTCTAGTTTATCTGTGTCTCCATATTTTAAGAAAATGATTAATAACATAACAGATGCTTAGCAAATGTTGGATGAGAAATAATTGTTAAATAGAGCAATAAAAGAAAAACACATTGTCATCTTGATAGATCCTGAAAAGACATTTGATAAAATGTAATGTCCATGGTAAAACAAAAAATGGAAAGCAAGAAACAAACTGTCTTAGTAAACCAAGAATGTAAACTACTAGCAGACGTGATGGATGGGTGAATGGAATTTGCATATATGTATATATGTATGTGAATGTGTGTGTCAGTGTGCATGTATGAAGTGTGTTTGAAATGTATACTGAATGTTTAAATAAAAATTTATTGCAGTAAAAGACACAATGTCATTGTCTTTATGAGAGTGATCAAAAATACAGAGAGTGCTGCTGCCCAGTGCCATCCAACAGAAAAGCAGGCTCCTAAAAACATTATGGTGTGTCCTCATCCTCCATGTGGCCCCATGGGACTTCTTGCTCTTCTCCAAGTCAAAATCACCAGTAAAGGTAAAGATTTTGGATCAATTGAGGACATCATGGCAGCCACAACAGCACAACTAAAGACACTCATGAAAAAGGACTTCCAGATCTGCTTCAGAAAGTAGCAAGAATGACAGGTCAATGAAGTGAGGTAGGGTGTTTTGAGGGGGATGAATGGCAATGTGTCTTTTACTGTAATGAAATTGTAAAAGTTAAATATTCACCATTTTTTATTGCACCTTGGACACATGTATCTCAGCATCATGACTGACCATAAAGCACTTCCATTAAAAGGTAGGGACAAAGCAAGGTTGCTTAATCACTATCACTGCTTAACACTATTCTAAAAGTACAACTAGTATGACAGAAAAGAACCTGAAACAAACAAATGAATGTTGGAAACTGCAGATGATAACTATCATCCTTTTCAGATGACATAATTGTCTACTCAGAAAACTTGTGAGGAGATAATAGAAATAATACGAGGCTTCAATGAGGTGGACAGTTACAAAGTCAGTCCATAAAAAAATCAATAATGTGCCTAGAAAATACATGCTTCATAACAGCCATAAAAATTTATGCCTAGAAATTGACTTCTCAACAAACCCCCATGCTAACAGCCACAAGATTCTAAGGAATCCAAAAAGATACCCTAGTAATTGTAAATATCTTATCATGTTCTAGGGTGGGAAGTGTGTATTTTAAGGATATTAATACTGACGAATACTCTGTGAATTGAAGGTAATCTCAGACAAAATTCCAATTCAGAGCTAGGGATGTAACTCAGTCATAGAACACTTGCCTAACATGCGTGAGACCCCAGCACCACAAAAAAATTTTTTTCCAAAATTCTTTTTCAAAAATTTGACTAAGATTTATTTGAGGATTATGTGTGTGACAGTAACCAGGAAAAACTCCGAAAGGGGGAAAAAGATCAATGAGAAAGCATTTATCTTTCAACTTTTAATGTATATTAAAACTCCGATAATTAAAACAGAATCCAAAAGAGATAGACTAATGAAATAGACTATGACTAAAGCAGACCCAAGCATATAAGAAATTTTGATGTATAATAAGGTTTAGATTTCAAATTAAGCAGGAAAGCTAAGACTATTCAATAAAGAAAATAGGGATAATCATTAGAGAAAAACTAGACAACTTCAACTTTAAATATGTTAAAGACTTAATGTAAAATTACTAACATAAATTACTAAAATATGTAAGTGCTTATACAATATTTTATGGGAATTGCCTTTCTAAGAATGGCATCAAAACAAAATTTGATGACATTACAGATCATAAATTCTAAATAGAAAAAATAAAGTTAAAAAGCAAGTACTTCAGAAAGCTACATTTCAGTACACATGATATTCAAGGAGTTAGACTTCTTATTACTTTAAAACATTAAATTCCACACGAAAAAAATCCGAAAGAAATGTGAAAGAAAAATTTGATGAAAATCCAATAGAAATGTGAGTAAAAAGCATAAGAAAATCTTCACAAGTGAAGAATAGTCAATAGCTATGTAAAAGGCTCAAGGTCACTGCAGTAATTAAAGACTATAAGGTGAACACAATGGTGCGCCCTATATACTTATTGCATTATTATAGATTTATAAAAACAACAGCCAGAATTGCCAAAAATGTGGGGCAAATACAAGTGTTTTCATACACTGTAGGAAGAAATACACATTATTTTCAGTGCAGGGGTCTAACCCAGGGCCTCACACATGGTAGACAAGTAAGTACTCTACCACTAAGCTACACCCCAGCCCTAAAATAATCTTTGGAAGTCAAGTTGAAAGTATTTAAGATCTTAGACTTTGATCCAGTAAATACACTTTTGGAATATAACTGAAGAAATTAAAAAGTTAGTGCACAAAGATAGTATAAAGATGCCTTTTACAGCCTTATTTATAGTAGCCCAAACAGAGTATTAATCGGTAAAAGTAATCCAAAAATATAAATTAAAAATACAGCAAAAGTCTGTACGTATGTAAAGGCAAACACAGCCATGGAAAGCTTTGGTTGTTAAACTTCAGCGTACCTCAGAATCATTTGGAAGGACATTTAAAGCAAAGAGTCCTGTGCCCCACAACCCCCAGATTCTGATTTTGGAGGCCTACAATGCTGCTCTGGAATTTGCAATGTCTAAGAAATACCCAGGTGGTGATGATGCTGATGGCCTTGCTCTCACATTTGGCAAGCCACTGTGACAGAACCCTGCTCGGTGAGAAAAGCAAAGTGCAGCATCTCAGGGACAGTTTGATCCAGTTTCTCTGTGTAATTTTTACATGCATAGCAAAAAATCCTCAAGGGTAAACCCCAAAGTATTAACTATGGTTATTTCTAAGTGTCAGGATTATGGGTGCTTTAAATTTTTATGATCGACATCAATTATTCATATAAATTTAATTAATCAGCCATTTCCTCCTCTAATAAACGAATTTTATGAAACTCACAAAAGCTCGAGACCTCTATGCTGCCTCTATTTTGGCCCTAAGTCATTTAAGACCAGACTCAAGACTTTGGGTTTTTTATTACTAATAACAAGTTCATTAAGATATAACTCATGATGACTGTATCAAAATTTAAATTAGGGAGAAGCTTGGCTTATGTGGAGTCTGCTAACTAACTGGAGTTTTTTTTCCAGATCATTATTTGTTCAATGTTGGTTTGGGGGACCTTTCTGAAATAAATCACATCCTCTTGTGTCTTGTTGGTGCTTGTGATGTTTTTTAAGTTGTATGGAAAAATGTTTAAGTGCTTTTCAGTTCTGTTTTGGTTGAGTTCTACTGTATTTGAGTATTATTGTAGTTTTTTCCCCCTTGCATTGTTCTTCTTTGAGTGGTTTTAATTTTTTGTATGTGTGTGTGTTTGATAATAAAGTTATTTAATATAAAAAAGATATAACGCACATATTATAAAATCCATCCATTTAAAGTGTATACTTCAGTAGCTCTTAATATATCCCTAGAGCTGAATGACCATCACCACAATCAATTTTAGAACGTTTTCATGTTCCAAAACAAGAAGAAATCCTTAACCCCCAGTAGACACTTCTATTTCCCCCAAGCTCCTCCCTCCAGCCTGTAAATCACTAATCTACTTCCTGTATCTTGGGAATTTCCTACTCTAGACATCTCATATAAATGAAATCAGGTAAGATGTGCCCCTTTACGATGCTGGCTTCTTTCATTTAGCGTGTTGACTTATACAAAATCTGCCTTTACTGGAGCAATTCCACAACCCCCCTCATCTTGCATCCTTACTGATGGTTTCATCTTGGGCAGGTCCCACGCATGTGGAGCAAAGTGCATGTGTTTTAAGATTTATATCTAAAATGTCCCCCAAAGGCCCCCAAAGCCTCATGTGCTTCCAGGTGGGGCTTTGGGGAGTGACTTGATTTTAGATGTGTGAAACTGGATTAAGGGTGTGTGGTAGTGGATTAGTCCTCTGACTGGTTTAACATGGTTCTGGGTGTGGATAATGGGAAGGCCCACCCTGGGTGTGGGTGGCACCATCCAATGGGTTGGTAGCCTAGATGGGATAAAACGGAAAAGAAGGTTCGCTGCTTCCTGCCTCCTGCCTGCTACACCATAAACTGTCCTCTCTGGTGCCCCTCTGCTATGCTGCCCTGATTTGGAGCCAGCCAACTATGGACTGAAACTTCTACAGACTATGAGCTAAAATAAACCTCTCCTCTTTTGATTTGTAAGTGTTGGGTATTTTGTCCAATGAGGAAAATATCTAAAACAATGTGGTTTAATGCACTCTGCGCACCGCCCCTCCCCTCACCCCAGGTGATCCCAGCTTATACAGCAGCTGGGTGCTTAGCCCTATTAGGGCTAGCTGCGTTGGAAGTCCGGCTCACTTCCTGATGGGCACTGTGAAGATGCACTATAACTCTGGTAAGAGGGCAGCCCAGGGCCCTGCCACATACCCACTAACACTGCTTACCTCCTCTGGGTCCCCATCCTTTTGTGGGACAGATATATGAGCATGAGAACCACAGAGTTACTGGAAAACTCAATTAATTCTCAGAGTTGCATCTGCTACCACATGAATGCTCAGCACATGTTAGCTATTAGTAGTATTGTAATCGTTAATTGGATTTCAATACCTGGCGAAGTTTCTTTGTCATGAAACTCTGATCAGGCCAATGAAGCAGATGCCTGGAATAGATTTGCTAACCGCTTCAGTTAAGAGAATCTCCTGCCACCTTCACCTTGAAGGGATGGAGGGAGAGCAGGGTGAGCAGGAGATTTGATGATTCCTGCCCACACCGTTGCTTCAGGCTAGGAGACCAGCACTCGAGGAGGGATTTTGGAAGTTATCAGATCAAACAGGAAGGAGGCCATAACAAAAACAATCAAAATACCAACAAAAGCAGATATTACAAGCAATTCCATATGCTTAACATTTCTCCCCCAAGAGTTGGCTGCAACTATTACTCAGTGCAAGATACTTTTCCAGGCACTAGTAATGTCTGTGGACTCCTGAATTGGCATGTTTCATCCTAAAGCACAGGGAAAGCCAGAGACAGGTGTGTAAGTCAAGCGAAATGCAAGGTCAAGCATCCCAAAGGAAAGATCCGGCCTTACCAAGTTGGTGCTACTACCCAAACACCAGTGAACCAGGCATAGCAACGTGAAGTGCTTGGAACGGTTCTTTTAGTACTTAGGGTCTATCTTAATTACTTTTTCTCATTGCTCAGACAAAATACCTAACACTCAAAGTTAAAGGAGGAAAGGTTTATTTGCCTTACAGTTTGTAGAGGTTTCAGTTCATAGTTGGCTGGCTCCAAGGCAGGGTGGCATGGCAGAGGGGCATTGCAAAAGAGAAACAGTTCATGGAAGACAGAAGGTAGACAAAGAGCAAAGTAGCAAGTAGCAAGCAGCAAGCAGCAAGCAGCAAGCAGCAAGCAGCAAGCCTCTTTCTGTCCCTTAGAACCTATCCAGGATGCACGCCCTTAGGGTGGGTAGCACTCACACCCAGGGTGGGGCAGTGTTAATCCTAGCATTGCACTGTGACCCAATCTCAACATCACATCCTTGATCCCATCATCACACACCCTAGCTCCAACCACCCCTGAAAACCTCCACCTATGACCGCATGACCTTTGGGAGGACATCCAGATACAAGCCGTAACAGGTCCTTTGCAATGTATCTATTATTTTTGTTTCTTTTCTAATTAGAGGCACTGCTGCTCCTCACTTTTGAAATTCAACCTTATTAATAAGCAGTGTTTGTGGGCAACCATGTTACAAGGGTTGGCAATATTTGATTATTCTTTTTGGTGAGAAGACTTTAAATATTTTACATAGCTTGAACTCCATGCCAGACAGAGTGTCTAAGTATATTTTCTGTTACTATAACAAACTACCTGAGACCAGAAATTTATAAAGAATAGAATTTTATTTGGCTTGTGATCTGGAGGCTATGACAGCCAAAAGCACAGAACTGGCATCTGGTGAGGGTTTTTGGGCTACATCATAGCATGGTAGAGGGACCCACATGGTAAGACACAGAAAGCATACAATCTCAGGTCACTCTTCCTCTTCTTATAAAGCCACTAATGCCATCATGGGAGTTCATCCTATGTCCTCACCTAATCCTAAACCTCCCAAAGATCCCATCTCCAAATACCATTAACATAGGAATTTGGAGATAAGTTTCCAACTTGAGAACTTTGGAAGAACACAGTTCCAGAAAACCTGGTTCCAGTGTTTGAGAACTAGCCACAAGGTGCCATAAAACTGAAAGAAAAGGAGGCAGACAGATCAAGGACTATACAGAGTGAAATTTATTGGAGGACTTACATACAGAAGTGAGTCTTGGGCAGCAGCAGGACAGGTGGATCCCTGTAATTTGAGTCAGAAGGAAGAGGTTTATACAATGCTCAAGGTAAAATTGACTTCATCTGAGCCAGAATGTACTTGGTTTGTCTCAAGCTAATATTATGGACATCAGGAACATTCCTTACAATTAACAATGCCTGGGACCAGGTCAGAAGACTCCACACACCACTCAGATGGGTCATGTATAGTCTGCTGGGGAACTATGCAAGGGAAACAGACCAGGGTTACACAGGGCCATCGAGGTGACCACAACTCAGGATGGCTGCAGTCAGGTCCAGCTGAATCTCTAGACATAGGCAAACCATGGCACAGAAATACAGGGTAACTCTATTCTCCTTCTCTTTGTGGCATCACCAGGGAGGGTCTCCATAGGTGTCCCCTGCAGCAGCCAAGTTGTATGCTCTAGAGCTGACCCCTGGGAGCCCCTTCCTCTCCAGAAACACCCCACTGGATCCAGCAGACCCTCCCAGCTCTTGGGCTGTCTCTGTGTCCATCTTACACCAAACTCAGGTAGGAAAGGAAAAAGCCCAGAGACTTGGCCTCTCCCGCCTCTCCTTCTTCCAGCTCCCCCCTCTTTTTAATGGTTTTAGATACAGAGTCTATACTATGGACTATACTATAGCCATAGACTCTTCAGTGACTGATCTACTTTTTCTTAATTCCCAGAGCTAGCTCTAATTGTTCTCGATAGCTGGGACCTCCTAAGTGAAACTTAGCAGGCCCCCAGGGATCTATGAGCTAATAAAAATATAAAATCCCAAACAATATTGGATAAGTCACAGCAGTGGGGCTATCGATGAGGGGCATCACTCACACCTTGAGGTTTCTGAACATGTTAGTATTACACTCTAGTGAAGCAACTGTTGACCCTTGTTTGACAACCGAAAAGCTAACATTATTATGTTCAGCCTTTTTTGTATGGCCTGAATAAAAGATAATGAATGGTTATATATTCCCACCACAAAAAACATTAAAATGACCAAAATCTTTATGATTGAAAGAAAGGTTTGTAGTTGTTTGAAAAAAAAATGTACACTTACCAAAATGGTCATTTCCAGGGACAATCAGGGAACTGACGTTAACTATACTTATCTCAACCAACAAAATGCAAATGTGTCATTGTTTCCCTTGAGTCATTACAGGTTCTTGTTATTAGCGCCTTTCAGAAAATTAAAAAATTTATGAAACTCAGTAATACATAATTAATATTTTCAGACATTTTCTCATTCTGCTAAGCTTCTCCCTCACCAAGTGTGAATCTGACTTGGTCATGTTGTAAAATGATGTGGTGTATCTTTTTGCTACTGTTGTTGGAAAATGCTTCTAAGGGCCTTGAGAATGGATATAATTATATTTATTCAGAACCAAGTTGAAAATGCTAGGCTGCATAAATAATTATCACCAAGGGTTAGAGATGATTGCCATTGTACCTAAACTTAATGATAGAAAACAAATAAGTCAGCTGGTCTTTCACTGTTTTTAGGAAATAGACTTTTGAAAGTATCCACCATAAAACACTATTGTAAGAATTAAGTTTATTTTCATTTCTTCAGCAAATATTTAGCACTTAGCATGTGCCAGTCCTTAATCTAAGGCTACATATTATCTATATTAACCAATTTAATTCTCATAGCCACACTTAGATGTTAACTCAGAATCCTCATTTAAGGGATGGAGAAATGCAGACAAAGGAAGATTTTGCACTCACTTCTTCAAATGTAAGAGAGGTATCTTGTGTGGGAACTTAACTCATACCAGGAACCATTTATTCTCAGGTATTGGTGATTACCCAAGTCAAAAAGCAGGTGAATGCAAACTTAACAGTTGTTGGCCTAGGGCTGGGGATTTAGTGCAGTGGTTCTGCCCCCTGTCTCTCACAAGCACAAGGTCCCGAGTTCGATCCCCAATACCAAAAAAAAAAAAAAAACACCAAAACAGTTGTAATCCTAAAAGAAAAGTGAGAAATTTCTGATTTACAATAATATTTAGACCCAGATAGAATATACTGTGCATATAGTTCAGTTTTTCTGTTATTTCTCACTCAAGGGAAATTGAGATGTTCAAAAACTGAAAAATGACTATGGATCATTAGTTTTGTGAAATACATCAGGTGAAACATAGATAACAGTTCTCAAATCTCAGTGACTCCACAAATATACTTCATGGGAGAAATACAGACTAAAATATTTACTGTTTTCATTATTTGAACTTTTATGCAAGCCTGTAACTCTGGGAGGCCAAGGCAGGAGGATCCCAAATTCAAGCCTAACCTGGGCAACTTGGTGACTTAGAAAGATTGGCTCAAAGTAAAAAATATAAAAAGTATTGTGCAATAGCCCTAGGTTTGATCTCCATTACCAAATGCACATATTTGAACTTTTGCATTGTTCTCATCAACATATTGATAGTATTTTATGAGAAAGAGCTACTGTCAATGGATGTGGCTGTCCATATGTGATCCTATATCAGGGAGTTATATGCTTATTACCCACCTGCCACCCCAAAAGTGCTGTGCATGCAGAGACTCTGATCACAGTCCAAATTATAGAGAAATTGAGTCATAACATTTGCAACAATAGACAAGTGTGTCTGAGTAGACAAATATATCATCTACAATATATCGAGTACCTTCAGCCTAAAGACAGATACAAAGACATGTAAGTAAGACCCAAAGTCCTTCAGGAAGCTTGCAGACTGGGAGAGAAGTTGAGACAGTCAAAGATAACCAATGAAATGAGTAGCAAAGCATCATCACATGGACATAATAGAGGCTGCTTTGAGAGTACAGAGAGGAGCAAGACCACAGTGGACTGGGCTGCACTAGACAGGACTGGGCAGGACTAGGCAGCAGACACAGGACCGGGATGGCTCCTGAGACTCAGCCCATATTACACAGGAGGCAAAGGATTTGGCTCCTGAGAAAGGCAGAGGGAGTCCAGGCTGGTCTGCTCATTATCACGCCAATGCACATGGCTGGGAGTCCCCTGGCGCAATTTATGTTTCTTGTATTCAAGTAGAATCATCCAGATGTCATTTTTCTGCCTGTCATATTCTGCTCTTTGCTGCACTTTGTGGCTGAGTTTCTCTTTGTGTGCTCCATCCATCTTGCAAGTGGCTGTGTTTACTTTGCTCTCTCATTCTCTTTATATCTCATGAATAACAAAATTATGACAATGGATCAAACACATATGAAATAATTCTCATCATGGTGGACCTTTCGGGCTGACTGTCTCACAGGCACTGGCCCTTTGTCTTTTCTTCTTCCTCTTTTTTCTCGTGGTGCCCCTACACAGGACCAGGTTATGGGTAGGTGCAAAGCAGATTTTCCTCTCCAAAGAAATGCCACCAGAAGGGCCCAAATGAAAGTGTGTTGTAATGCATACTAGGTGTATGGTGCTTAAGGCAAGATCTTGTTTTCTTTACTGCTCTTTCTGATGTGAGCCTGTAGGAAATAGAACAGTGGATGGAGATTTTCGTCCCAGCCTAGGGTGGGGGACTGGGCTGCATGGGTGAGATGCATTGGCATGATGCAGTGGATAGGAAGCAGAAGCAGAGAGCAGGTGGCAGGTGAACTGACCACCGCTGGAAGTAATCAGTGGTGTCCACCTGGGCAGCAAACCGTCGGCAAAAGGCTTCAGGTACTGGGGGTTCTTAGAGGCAAGCCATGCCGATGTGGTTCTGGAAGATCACTGTCCTCCACCCTCTGTGGAAAATAGGATTCAGGCACTTGGGGACAAAGGTGCTGTCAAGTGAAAGCTGTGACACTGGTGTTCCAGCACTGGGCATGGGGTCAGGGCAAAGCTACAGGCCCACTGGGAATCTGCTCGCAAGAAATCACCATGTGAATAAAACAGTGGGGAGGTAAGGACACCATGAGTGGGCCAGAGACACCCCCATACAGACACCCCAGCAGCGTGACTAACTTCGCGTGTTCCTGATGGATCAAAGTTGCCCCCACGTCGAAACTGGCTTCAGAACGATACTGTGGGAGGTGCACACCTGTCAGCTGCAGGCCAAAAAGCAGCTCCCAGGAGCTCCATGTCCTTGGATGTTGTTGCCTTCTTCTATTGAGATGCATTGTGCACACAGTAAAGTATACATATCTCAAGTGATATGTTTTTACAATATGCATATGCCCATGAAGCTACCACTCAGATCATGATATAGAACATCCAGAAATCTCCCTTTCACCCTTCTCTATCAATAACCACCATTCAGATTTCTATCATCACCATTCTGACCTATTTTTGAACATCATCAAGTGGTATCCACTTGTTAGCGTCTGTCTTCTTTCACTGTATCATACCCATGAGACACTTCTATATCATTGCATGCTGCTATGTGTTCATTTTTGCTGCTGTATAGTATTGCATTGTGAAAGTCTACACAATTTCTTGTTCTCGGTGGACATGTGGGTCCTTTCCAGATTTGGACTCTTAGAAAGATACCTCCTGTGAACATTCTTTGTCAGGTGTTTGGTAGACATAACACTCCTTTCTGTGGTCAGAGGTGGATGGCCTTGAGCGCTTTAAGAATACTTTCCCCACCACTCAGTCTAGAAAATAGATGATACACAGTAAGGCTCATCCCAAAGGTTGTTTTGAAGCAGTACAACCCCAGATACATGCTCATGGACTAGAATGATCTGGCTACCATGTCCTCATGTTTCGCAAGCTGGCATTTTGTGATGGTGATTGCAGAGCTCAGAGGGAGAGCTGGTTGAATGAATAGGAAGCGAAGCAATATCGAAAAGGAATTAGAGTCTGCAGTCCTGCCCTGTGACACACTGTAGAGCTCATGTGAAAACACAGCCACATGACCCAGCAGGGCCGTCCAAAGCTGTCAATAGAACCCTCCCTAGCTATTCAAGAAGGGCAGGCTGTGGCACTCACCTGGGAGAGTTCACTGCCCACCTCACACTGCAGAGCTGCCCAGCCTCCACTCTGATCTTTCCCAGACCATGGATCTGGAGACAGACAAGCACATCGGCATGAAGGCTCCCCTGGATGAAGGTGCAGGACATTCCATATTGGAAACACCCAGGTGAACCTGCCGGGTCCTGCCCTGGGTCAGAGGCTTCCCTGCACCTGGGACCAAAAATCTACACCCTTCTATTTTACATTGTCAAGACTGAAGGGGAATTTAGCAAATTTTAACCTATGTTTTAAAATGCACGTGGATGACGCATTGCAGATCTGCAGCTGCTTCATTACAGATGAATGCAGACATGCCGGCTCTCTGAGGAATGCCCTGGCCACTGCCATCC